ATTCTATATTCAGCAAAGCTATCTTTAAAGAATGAAGACGAAATCAAGATTCTCAGAGGAAGGAAAACTAAGAATTTGTCACCATCAGACCTACCCTAAAAGAATGGCTAAAAGAAGTTCTTGACAGGAAAAAATTTTTTTAAAAATCCTAGAACATTACAACAGAAGAAAGAATAAGAGAAAGAGTAAAAATATGGGTGAATAAATAGACTTTTCTTCTTCTCTTGGTTTTTCTAAATTATATTGAAGTTGAAGCAAAAATTCTAACATTTTTGTCTTATAGTGGTTCTCAATATAAGTAAGGGAAATATTTAAGACAATTGTATTGTAAACAGGAGAAGGTCAGTGGACCTAAGATGAGGTAATTTTCCCGCATGTCACTCAAATTGTAAAATGTGGAGACCAGTAGACTGTAATGTTATGTACATATAATGTCATACTTAGAACAAACACACAAAAAACTATGCGAAGAGATACACTGAAAAACACTTAAGTCAAAATGGAATTCTAAAAGATGTTCAAGCCATCCATAGGAAAGTAAAAAATTTAAAAAAGGAAACAAGAAATAGAACAGAGAAGAGAAAGTAATATGGCAGACTTAAAATTGATAAAAAGAGAAAACACAAATATCAATATCAGGGATGAAACAGGGGATATCAGCCCAGACCCTGCAGACATCAAAAGAAAAATAAAGGAATACTCTACCTACACAAATTGATACCTTAGATGAAATGAATCAATTTCTCAAAAAGCGCAAACTACAACAGATAATTTGAATGCCCCTATCACTCTCAAAGAAATTGAATTTATAATTTTAAAGCTCCCCAAAAAGATATCTCCAGGCCTAGATTGTTTCACTGGAAAATTCTTCCAAACATTTAAAGAAGAATTAACATCAATTTTACATAATATTTTCCAGAAAGTAGAAAACAAGGGAGCACTTCCCAACTTATTTTAAGCAACCAGTATTATCCTGATACTCAACTTGATAAAGATAATGCAGAAGAAGAAAACTGCAAACTAATATTCCTAATGAATAGAGATGCCAAAATCCACAATAAAACGTTATCAAATAGAATTCGGCACTATATAAAAGGAATCATACACCACGATCAAGTGGGATTTATTCCAGAGATGCAAGACAGTTTCAACACTGGGAAATCAATCAATATATTTCACCGCATCAACAGATGAAAAAGAAAAAATCACATGAGCACATCAGTTGGTGCAGAAAGAGCATTTGACAAAATTAAATATCCATTTATGCTAAAAACTCAGAAAAAAATCAAAACAGAGGAGAATGCCTCAACTTCATTAAAAAGCATTTACAAAACACCTTCAGCTAACATTATACGGAATGGTGAAAGACTGAATGCTTTTCTCCTAAGATTAGGAACAAGGAAGGATGTCTTCTCTCACGACTCTTATTCAACCTAGTGCTGGCAGTTCTAGCCAGTGCAATAAGGCAAGGAAGGTGGGGAGAGAAGGAATACAGACTGGAAAGGGAAAAACAACTGCCCGTATTTGTAGATAGCATGGTTGTCTGTGTAGAAAATTCCAGTGAACCTACAAACAAAACAGAAACCACTTTAGAACGAATATGTGAGTTGAGCAGAGTTTCAGATAAACATACAAAAATCAGTTTTATTTCTATACACTAGCAATGAACTAGTTATATTTAAAAATATACCATTTATAGTCATTGAAACCTAGATATAAATCTAAAAAACATGAACAAGATCTGTAGGCTGAAATCTACACGGCACTAATGAAAGAAATCAAAGTCTAAATTAATGGGGAGACATACCATGCTCATGGATTGGAAGATGCAACACAGTAAAGACGTCAAGTCTCCCCAGATTGAAATACTAGTTTAACACGATTCCTAGAAATCCCAGAAAGTTTTCTGTTGTAGACCTAGACAAGATTATTCTAAAGTTTATATGGAAATGCAAAGAAACTAGGATAGCTAAAACAATTTTGAAAAAGAATAAAATGGGAGGAATCAGTATACTCCATCTCAAGACTGTGGTATTGGTGGAGAAAAAGACACAGGATCAATGGATCAGAAGAGAGGACCCAGAAATAGACCCACACTAGTAGGACTCACCGATTTTTGACAAAGGTGAGAAATCAATTTAATGGAGAAAAACAGTCTTTTCAACAAATGGTGCCAGATCAACTGGACATCCATAGGCAGAAAAACCCCACAAAAACCAATGAACAAAAATACCTTGACCTAAACTTCACCACTTATACGAAAGTGAACTCAAGCTGATCACAGTATAGACTTAAAAGTATTTAGAAGGAATCATAGGAGACAATCTTCAGGATGTAGGGCTTAGTGAAGACTTCTTAGACATGACGCCAAAAGCACAATCCATAAAATAAAATATTTGATAAACTGAATTTTATCAAAATTAAAAAATTGGCTGTATTAAAGATGAAAAGACAAGCAACAGACTAGGAGAACATATTTGCCAACTACATATCTGACAAAGACATACATATCCAAAATATATAAAGAGTTCTCAGGACTCAACAGTAAAAAAAACAAACTATTCAAGTAGAAAATGGGCAAAGGATATGAACAGACGTTTCCCCATCCTCATCTCATGCTGTGTCCAGAGAGGCCTGGTCCCATGGCAAGTCTTTAAGTTGTGTCTTCCTGTGATGTCCAGTGGACAAGCAGATTTTTCAGCTTTAATTTTCTTCTTCATACAGTTTTAAGGAAACCTGTAGCTCAGACACTTCCTCAGATGATGTTTGTTCATTTCCTTGTGGATGTTAAGAGCTGTTTTCATCAATTTCAGCTTTCCCTCAGAGTCTGTCAAACCTTTCTCTGTAAGTTGGGTTTCCATGGACAGCTCTTCCAACTTCCAGCCTTTCTCTGGTTCTAAAGTATGACAACCTTTGCTCCCTCTGAACAAGAGAACTTCCCAGAAGAAAAACGCTCCCCAAGTGATAAGCCCCCAGGACATCAGGCTGAAGTCGGGCCCAAGCCTAAGGTCTTCAGGCCATGCGCCCACCGGCACCTGGGCACATGGCCCATCGGAGGGTCTGTACCCTCGATGGCCCCAAGCACCGGCCAGGCCTTGACACCTGGCCACAAACGACTGCCGTTTCCCAGCCGGCCTCCCACAGAGCCAGCAACTTCCACCTTCACGGGCAGCCCCTGACCTGGCCCCTCCCCTGGAAGATGGATTTCCACCTGGCCTGGGGGCCTCAGATTTCTCATGTCTGGGTTAAGATGCCCCACACTGTTGTGTTCAGATTGTTATTCCTGCCCCGTTTCCTGGTCTTCCATTTGTCGTACAGATTGATTGAATCAATGGTGGGGCCGGCGGGCTGCACGGACCGGTTCTTCCCTCCCCGGTGGATGGGACGCCACCCAGGAGACAGGAACACAGCCAGGGTCAAGGTTGCCAGGGCCGCTGTCCCTATTCTCACCCCTTCTGATCTCAGATTCTCTGAGTGCAGTGTGGTGATGTGGTGCGCGGTGTCTGGTACGAGGTATTTTTCTTTGGCCTGGCTCCCCTGGGCCTGGCAGAGGTGCTGACATGGTCATGGGGAGCAGGAATGGCAGCCTTGGGGCTAGACACCTGGTGTGCATCTGCGTGGGGTCGCACAACATGGGAAGTGGGGTGGGTGGCCCTTTGCGGCACCAGATTGGGGTAGGGGGGTCGAAGTTGGCTAAGTGTCTGGAGGACTCGCTCACCCTGTGCTGAGCTGGGTTGGGGGCTCCCAGCTGGCGGGGGTTCGGGGAACTCTTTTGTCCTGTGCTGAGTCGGATTGTTGGGCTCTGGGTGGGCTGGGTGTCCAGGGGGCTGGCTCACCCTGTCTTGAGCCAATCACAGGTCTCCCAGTTGCTTGGGTGTCTGGGGACTAATTGGCCCTGAGCTGAGCTGGGTTGAGATTCTCGCTTGGCTGAGGGTCCAGGCAACTCCTTTGCTCCGTGCTGAGCTGGGGGATTGGTGGGCTCCCAGCAGGCTAGGTGTCCAGGGGACTCGTTCGCCCTGGGCCAAGCTGGGTTGGAAGGTCCTTGGTCATTCGGGAGTGCGGGGGACTGGCCACCTTATGCTGAACCAGGTTGTGATGCTGGAGGTCTGGGAGGGCCCCCTCCCGGCCCCGCCTAACATGGGTGAGGATCCTTTTTACTCTGATTCCCGATGCCCAGCTTTCCCTGCTAATGGGAACACATAGGTGGGGCACACCACAGGGCGTGGGTCCGTGGGGTGCTGGGGCCACTGCGCGGACTCGGGGTCTGCCACGGAGAGGTTAGGTTAAGGCCTCCTCACTTACCCACTGACCGGGAAGCCATCCCCTATCCCCCACCGGGCAGACGGATGCCCCTGCCGGCCTTTGCCCCTGACAGCACCCAGCTCCCTTTCACCCATGGCAGAGCCTTCATTTAGCGGGTGGTGCAACTGGGCATGGGAGGGGTGACCCACCCATGCAGGGCAGCGCGCTCCAGGGCTCCCATGACCCTCCCCGGGTCTGAGAGCCAGCAGGTGTAGGTCCTCCCCGGGGCCTCCCTGTCGCTGAAGCTCCGCTCAGGGGCTTCCATGGTGACCCTAAGCGCACCTAAGCGCATCTGGATCCTGACGCTGCAACTGCTTCCTTTGCTGCCGCAGCTTCTCCCGTTTGACAGCTGGTTCTGAGGTCACCAATGAAGACTTGAGCCCTGCTCGCTGCTACCGCCACTGCACCCCTGTCTTCATTTTCAGCGACTTCTACTCCACAACTGCAATCCCTTATCTATATCTGTCCATTTGGTCTGTGACCTCCTTACCTCCCATTGCAAACAGTGTTGGTGTTTTCCCCAGCACTCATTTCTTTCTTCTACCCTGTATAACAGTAATACTAATAAATAAAATGTAAATCATTCTGGTCTCCTGATGCAATGGGCTCAAAGAAAGTAGGCCATTCCCAGGGAATGAATCACAACTGGAGGAAATCGATCACAGGCCTCCCATTCTTCTTTGCTAAGATTGGTTGGGAGTGAGGAGGGCGCTTGACCCAGATCTGGCCAATAGGGGCTTAAAGGTCGCCTCTGTAGGAGGCACGTGACGCTTGAGAAACTTTTTTCTCTTTATCTAAGAAAGGCAGATGGTAGGAATCAGTCTTGGCTCTCTGTCTGTGAACTGGTAGGGTGAATATGTGATGTTAGCAGCTACAGCAGCCACAGTGAGACCCTGAGGAAAGAGGTAAAAAGAATCCCAGAAGAGCTGATGCAAGGCTTCCCCTGCTGATGGGATGAATTAATCAGCCCTGGATCCCCCTGACTCTGGACTCCTTGTTGGCGGGATCATAGCCACCTATGTTGAAGCCACTTTGGGCAAGAAATCTGTTACATGGAGCTGAAGACACCCTCGCTGATCCATTTCACTCCCAGAATAACCCAAATATCTAGCTGACTGTTTCCTGTGCTGACTCCACTTTCTAACTACCAAAATTTGTGTTTATCCTGAAGAGAAAGAGGCCGTGGGTCAAAGTCATATCTCATTCCGTGTGTGTCCTCCAGTGTCCTAGCATCTTGCTTACCTCATAGTTGGTGCTAAACGTGAGTCATGAATAAAAGTGTGTAATGAATGGTTTACAGCCAGGCCATCAACAGAGCACAGCACTTCACCCAGACCAATCTCTTTCGTGGTGTAAAGTGGGGGGAAAAACAGAGAGAGAGACTGAGAACCTGAGTGACTCAGTGTGCTCTTTGTGGTCACTGCTGTGAGAGCAGTCAGAGGACAAGGTCCAAAGGAGGGTGGATCCGAAGACAAAGGGCCTGTGTTCCCCCATCCCTGGAGGGAGGGAACCTGCCTGCAGACCAGGAATTCATCTACCAACTGTCAGAGGAGCTCGTTGTGGGATAAGCCAGTAAAGTGTTGGCAGTTGTTCAGGGGGCTCCTGTCACCTCAGTGCACACACTTTCTCCTTCCTTTCCTTACAAAGCCACGCACCCATCCTGAGAAGACCAGTCTCTTGGCTCCCTTGAGCCCTAGAGAGGTCATGAGACTACGTTTTGAGTAGAAGGGCTCTGGGGATTTCTGAGGAGGATGTGGAAGTGAGGCAGCAGCCCCTTCGCTGCCATCCCTTGTTCCTCTTGCAGGTGTGGAGGGCGCATGTGATGGCCAGACCCGCTCACATGGCACCTTGAAGATGCAAGCCGCGGGAGGCAATGGAGCAGAAAGATGGACACAGGGCTCTAATCTTGGCACGGAGAATCCAGACTTCTTCACATGAGAGAGAAGAACTTCACTTTCTTTTTCGCCCAGTCATTGTTACGTTGGCATTTTGTTAAATGCAGATGCACTGATCGCCAACCCATCTAGAGCTCCTGGCCCACTCCACAGGCCCCCAGGGAAGGGGTCTACCAGGCCTCCATCACCAGAACTGGCCCATCTCCTTGGCACCCTTGGGCCTATGCATGTGCTCCTCCCTCGCCCTGGAGTGTCAGTCACCTGGCTAGTCTAGCCCGTCATTCCACTTTCAGTCATTTTCTCCAGGGTGCCCTCCTGGCCCAACCTCTAGGTCAGAACCACCCCCCCACCTCCAACTTCTTCTTCACTGTCCTAGCACAATTATAATCCTATATGCGTCTGTGGGTCCATCAGAATGTCTCCCTTCCCCATGACACTGAGCAACCTGAAAGCAGGCAGCCCCAAGTTTGTTCCCCTCTGTGTCCCCAGTCCTGAGCACGGTCCCAGCACACAGGAGACACGCCCTCACGTGTACCAAGTCATGGCCCCATGTGCCTTCAGGGGCCATGTTTCTGCTTCTATGAGGTCAAGATGATGTCAGTATAGGCACGTTGGCCTCAGAATGCCCTAGCATGGATTTTATGCCCAACCCCTTTCTCACTGTAAAATTTCAGGAAGGTGACTGCTGTGACCCTGAAAGTGGGCATGATGGGAGGCCCAGGCCCAGGGGCTGTGGAGAGAACCCTGTGAAGAGCACATGAAAATGCTCAGCTCCCTGCCTGTCACGGGCCACCTCCGTGCCCATCACAGCCCCAAGGTGGACACACAAGTAACTCCTGATTCCTTTTGCCCAGGTCTTTGAGGACATTCTTCCACTTTCCATTCTTGTAGATGGCTGATGAAAGAGGTCACGGGGCAGTCCACCAGCCCATCCAGTGTCCAGCAGGGGCTAGGGAGACACACAGCAACTACACCCGGCTTTCCTGTCTGCTGGATGGAGTCATCCTTTCCCTCCTTGAGAAGACGCAGGCTGGATCCCGTGGGGCTGGACCCCAGATGGCTGAGGTTATTAGGGGAGGCTACACGTAGGGCAATTAGGGTAGGCACTGAGAGCTTGTGGTGGGCAGAGACAACTGAGGGCCAGCGGGGAGGATGGTGCAGCAAAGAAAAAGTTCCTGAGTGGAACAGACTGTGGGCACAGTCTGAGCAGGTGCAGACCCAGGGGCACCATGGGGGTCTGAGCTCTGCCCTCGTTGGCTCAGCCACAGCTAGGCGATGGGTGGGGGAGACATCGGGGATTGGTAGGTGATCTCTAGATTCTGCTAATGTGGGTGGACCCTGGGGGAGAGGCTGGGGGTCGCTGGGCAGCACTGGAGGGTTTGAGATGAGGGCCCTGGGGCTCAGTGACGACTGGCCAAAAGGCAGAAGAGGGGCAGCCTTGAGGGCCAGTCATGCCAGGGCGTAGGCAGGCTCTGCTTGGCATCACAGGCCTTTCTGTGTCTGGCCTGGTAAAGGCTCCTGCTGATCTTTCCAGCCTCGGTGTAGACAGCGCTGCTCTCTGCTCTCCCCATCCTGCACATTCCAAGTGGGTCAACATGGTCCCGTTTACACCCCACTCAGGGCCCTGTGGGGTCAAGTCACCACATTCTCTCCACTACTGCCACTCCTTGGCTTTGTGGGGACAGGCGTGGTCATAATCTCCATTTTCCTTCAACCCTCCTAACTGTCCCACCCACCCAAGGGGAAAGCGTCATAATTGCCATTGTCCACCAAACCTCCATGTGGTGGCGTTGTCATAACCTACATTTTCCATCAACCATTTCACCCTCGCAACCCCCATGGAAAAGAGTTTGTCAGGTTCTCCATTCTCCATCAACCCACTTTACCCTTCCAACCAACCCACGAAGAAGGCACTGTCAAATATGTATTAACTTGTTAACATATTATTGGATTTGTAAAATGTAGAATTTTTGCATCTGTTCTCATGAGAGCTATTGGTCTGTAGTTTTCTCTCCTTGTGGTGTCTTTATCTGATTTTATTATGAGGGTAATGCTGGCCTCATACAATGAGTTGGGCATTATTCCCTCCTCTTCACTTTTTTGGAAGAGCTTGTGTACACTTGATATTGTTTCTTCATTAAATGTTTGGTAGAATTCACCAGTGAAGCCACATGGCCCTGGAAATTTTTTTTGGTGAAATATTTTAACTACGAATTCAATTTCTTTAACATATATAGGAGTATTCAAGTTCTTAATTTCTTCTTAAGTGAGCTTTGGTAGTTTGTATCTATCAGAGAATTTGTCTATTTCATCTAAATTGTCTGATGTATTGACACAATGGATAATATTTCCTTTTTACCTTTTTAATAACTATAGGATCTGTAGTTATGTTACCACTTTCATTACCGATATTGATAATTTGTGTCTTTTTTTTTTCTGATCAGTCTGTCTAGAAGTTTATCAATTTTATCGATCTTCTCTAAGAACATGCTTTTGGTTTCATTGATTATCTCTTGTTGTTTTTCTGTTTTCTATGTCATTGATTAACACTCTAATCTTTTTTATTTTCTTTTTTCTGTCTACTTGAGGTTTAATTTGCTCCCCGTCTAATTTCTTAAAGTGCAAGCTGAAGTCAGTGGTTTGATCTCTTTCTTCTTTTCTAATATAGGTGTTTTCCTATAACTTTCACATTAGGTTCTCTTTAAATGCTCCCCCAAATTTTGATATGTTGTATTTCCATTTTTATTCAGTTCAAAGTACTTTGTAATTTCCCCTTTGATTTCTCCTTTGTTCCGTGAGTTATTTAGCAGTGCGTTAGTTTTCAAATATTTGGGGCTTTTCCACATAGATTTCTATTGACTTCTAGTTTAATTCCAGTGTGGTCAGAGTATATTGTGAACATGGACAAAGGAAACCTAAATCAAAACAGAGTCAGGAAGCCATGGAGGGAGGGCTCTCCTGCTCTGTCCCTCACCGCAGCTTCCAGAGCCCAGCAGGGAGAAAGAAGATTTCCTTCTGACCCAGCAACAACAAGCTACCCACCACTTGCAGCCAATGAAAACTGCCGTAGCCCTCCCCAGTTTCCTCCTAAAACCTAATAAAAGCCGACCTTTCCCTTGTCTTTTCAGACTTACCTGTAGTTCACCATAGTGTGCTTGTCTCGAATTGCAATTCCTCTGCTATTCCCAGATAAACTCATTTTGGCTGGCTAAAGACCTTGCTATTTCATTTTTAAGGTCAACATTTCATGGCAACCAGGCAGGAAGGGACCCGAAGGAGACGGACCCCTGAGGAACTAACAACCCTCAGAACAACGTGCGATACCCACTGGAGACCTTTGTGCTCCCTGCATCCGGGAGCCGCCATCTTCCTTTCAGTTTGGTAGGTTTCCTCTCAGATTCGAGCTTTTTGGGCAAGCTCTCTGACTTTATTAAGGATCTGTTTTCTTGAAGGCATTGTCCTTTTGGTGAGTGCTCATTTGCTGTCTGAACTTCTAAACTAAGATTATGCAATCCCAATCCTCTAAACATGCTCAGGATGGCCCTCTCTGCCGGATCCTGGCTGGTTTTATGTTTAAAAGCAAAGGTCCCTCCTCATGTGCATTTTTAACTAAATGGACCACGCTAACCAAAGACCATTTAAAACTTCAATGGCCATTATGCAGAAACTTTGATCTCCCCAAAATTGGTTTTTCTCAGAACTAAACTTGAAGACCGCGGCTCTAAAATGAAACAAACTGAGTGAGATGCCTACTTCCAATGGTACCTTGAGGCTTCCAAATGTATTCAACACTCTAAAATTGCAAAATACGCTTTACAAAATACCATTTCTATATTGATGGAAGCAAATGAACAGTTTAAAGAAGATGAAAAGGCATGGGAGGCCTGCTCACCCGCTTCACTCCCCTGCGCTCACTTCCTCTTCCCCACTGCACCTACCCCACCTCCCTCATGCCCTCCACTTCCTCATTCCAACCCTCTCACTGAGCATCCCTTTTTCTCCAACTTCCCCATCCAAACCTGTTCAAACTGCTCCTTTCAAAGAGACCCTCGGAGGGTCCTCATGCTAAGCCTCTAATTTCTTATGTCCCCTGTACTAAGGCTGAACTATGAGCAAGAGTCAGAGATTCTCCTAGAGTTACTAAAGATCCTCATAGATTTGCCGAGGAATTTAATATAGCTTTCCAGACTCACCAACCAGGTTTCTCAGATTTACACCAGCTTCTTCACATGCTCATTGGCAAAGGCCAAGCCTGACACTGGATGAAAACAGCTAATTGGGATCACCCTGAAAAATCCCTAGAACTGCAGATAAGAGGCCAACCCCCTGCCTTGTTACGTGGTCTGGCTCCGGGAATCGCTAAACAACGTTATCTGGCAATCTCTAGGACTTTCCCAAACCCCATTGATTGGAATGATTCAGGCTCACACTCAGAAACCCAGCAAACCCAAGCACAGCTCTTACAGTCAACTCCAAGTTGATTTTAAGGAGAATGCTGGTCTCCTATGGATGTCAAATCCACTCAGGGAGCCTTCAACTCTATGTTTGTTAATGGGCTGACCGGGCCTTCTCTCTCTTGGTTAAGAGAACCAGAAAAGTGGGAATGTGTGCTCCAGACTTAGTTAATTTGGCAAAGCACTTAGTCCAAACCCTAGATGACTCTACTAAGAAAAAGACTATTAAAATCCTTAACCTCCAACTTCAACAGAGGAGGCCCATAAGCAAAATCCTCCCGGCTTCAGTCATTGTTGTAAGAAGCCAGGACACTGGAAAAAAGACTGCCGTAAACTAAGATGCTCCAGCCATCTTCAGTCACCCAACCAATATTTCCAGTGTCCTCCCACTTCCCACTGAGGGGACTCTGAGGAGTCCTAGGGGCTTTTCCCAATCCTTCCTTTAAACCAGCTTGGAGAAACAACTGTCCAGATTGGAAACAAACTTCTACCCATCCTTACTGACACTGGAGCTACACTTTGAGTGTTCAACCCCACTTCTATCAAACAGCCCTGCCTCAGAGTAATAATATGATTCAAATAGTATGGGTCTCTAATAAACCTCAACAAGTCAAGAAAAAAGATATTGAATCAAAAATGCTTAGAGCCTTTTAATAGGAGTGAATAGGACATACCCGTATGCCCGGACATATGTGATGACAAAGTGAGGGAGCAGGTTGACAAACTAAAGAGTTGCATATTGTGAATTTTTATACTAGTCTGCAGGTTTTAATGTTGCTTTTCCAAATAGTGAATTCTCAGCAGACGATATCAGACCGATATTATGCAGAGTTTTTAGGAAGACGTTGGATCCGGGGTTAATGTTGTATTCCCAAAATGCAATCCAGGAAAATCCATCCACACTGCTCCTCAGCACTTTAAATTGTGTAATGGGCCAAATGCATTTCATACAGCTACCCCCATCTGATGAGTACAAATATGTCTTAGTAAGGATTTTCATGTTTTCTCATTGGATCAAAGCTTTTCCATGTAGACAGGCCACTGCCTCCTCCATGGTAAAAGTCCTATTGGAAAGGCTCATTGCTACCTGGGAAAGCCCTTTTGAACTTCATAGTGATGGGGGGCCCCACTTTGCTGGTCAAGTGCTCCAGGAAGTCTGTGCCATTTGGCCAGTTCTACAACATTTTCACTGCGCTTATTACCCCAGTCTTCAGGACCAGCCAAATGTACCAATAGTATCATCAAAAACCAGTTGGCAAAGTTTGTAAAGATCCTTCAAACACCCTGGCCGAAAGCATGGCCATTGGTCCTTCTGAACATTGGGGCCACTGCCTTTGGAACCCACAAACTCTCACCCTTTGAAATAGTTACTGGGCACCTGCGGCATCTAGTTCTCACCTCTTTTGATTGACAGCTGATGAAAGGAGATATACCTCAGTATTGTAAAGCCAAATTGCATCTGTTGAGAGTTACCACACATTAGCAGAACAATGTTTCCACACTGTGCTCCTGGGAGACAAAGACATTAGTGTCACAGCTTACAACCTAGAGATTTTCTCTGTTGGAAAAGACATCTCCAGAAAGACTCTCTTCGACCCCATTGGAAAGGCCCTATCAGGTACTGTTAACCAACACTTGTGCCACTAAACTCCACAGAATACACTCTTTAATCAGTGGTCACATCTAAAGAAAGCACCAAGACTGACCAGACCTGCACACCAACTGGTGACCTAAAAGTAAAGATTTCCAGGAATAAAAGCAGGTGACAGCTGAATGAGACAGCTTTCCCAAGATGACTGGACCAGGCCTGTATATCTTTTTCCCACTGTTATTTCTCGCCTTATTTTCTCCCACTCTTTCTTGGAAAGACAATGCTTTTATCCGTATTTCCCAATCCATTGCTCTTCCTTTAGAAAGGAACCTTTCTGATTGTTGGCTTTGCCACCAGAAACCCCAATCTGTCTATGACAGTGGTGCCCTGCTGGTGTTATCTTAAGTCTACTTGTTGTAGCAAAGTAACCCCTTTCTGTGCAGCCTTTGGGGACACAGTCCACAGAACAAGACGATTTCCCCTCAAATATTCCCCAGACATCACTGACCCTTGACTCAAAAGGGCCAAGTGACAAATCACAATTAATAATCAACCCCTAGAAGGAGTCTTATGTGCACCTCCTAGTTTTATCTTTGTCTGTGGTGAATGGGACTGTCAATGGGCCTCTGAATGTTTGGACAGATGGCTAATGGGAGGCCAATGTTTACTAGGATATATAAAGGTCTCTGTTAATATCTATAATAAATCTGAAGTTTCCCATTGGTCTTTCCCACTAAACCTTCATAAGCATCTTAAACGGGAACTACCCAGGGGCATACATGACTCTGGGTTTGCCTCCCTAGGGAGAGCCTTTCTCCCTTGGGTTGGAATAAGTGCCAATGAGCACATGATCAGAATCTCTCCCCAACATGAAGAAAGCTGGCCAATTCCACAGCCAAGGGAACAGCAGCCCAACAACAATCACTTGACTCATTGGCTAAAGTTGTTTTAGACAAATGCATGGCCCCTGATTACCTACTTGCTGAATAAGGAGGCATTTGTGTGATAGCAAATACCGCCTGTTGCACATGGATAAACGCCTCTGGAGAAGTAGAAACTCCATTACACAAGGTCAGGGAACAAGCACACAGGTTACAACAGATTTCATTTGACTCCCTGCAGTCCTTTGGTTTGTTCAATTGGCTGCCTTCAGGTCTAGGGTCCTGGTTTAGAACCATCAGGAAAGGAGTTTCCTGCCAAGAGACAAAACATAATTCCACTAGGGACTGGCCTGGTGGTGTAGTGGTTACGTTCTGGTGCTCCACTTTGGCAGTCCTGGGTTCGCAGGGTCAGATCCCAGGTGTGGACCTACACACCACTCATCAAGCCACGCTGTGGCAGGATCCCGCAGACAAAATAGAGGAAAATTTGCAACAGATGTTAGCTCAGGGTCAATCCTCCTCACCAAAAACAAAACAAAACATAATTCCACCAAAATTGGATAATCTGACTCTTGGTCAGTGATACTTTTAAGGAAAGATCTTGATAAAAGGGGGAAAAATGTGAAAATGAACAAAGTAAACCTAAAACAAAGTGGAGTTGGGAATCCATGAAGGGAGGGCTCTGTATGTCTCACTTACCACAGCTAACACGCCCCAGCAGGAAGAAAGAATTCCTTCTGATCCAGCAAAGACAAACTGCTCACCACTCGCAGTCAATGAAACCCACCCCCCCATTTCCTCCTAAAACCTGATAAAAGTTGACCTTCCCCTTGTCTTTTCAGACTGGCCCATGGTTCACCACAGTTTGCTTGTCCCAAACTGCCACTCCTCTGCTATTCCTGAAAAAACTCGTTTTGGCTGGCTAAAAACCTTGTTACAGGCAGACCTTGTTTTATTGTACTTCACTTTGTTGCATTTCACAGATATTGCATTTTTCCCAAGACCCTCCACCAGCAAAAAGATTATGGCTCAGATGATGGTCAGCATTTTTTAGCAATTTTAACTAAGGTATATGCATTGGTTTTTTAGACATAATGCATTGCACACAATAGACTACAGTATAGTGTAAACATAACTTTTATGTGCACTGAGAAACCAAAAAAATTGTGTTAACTCTCTTTATCATGGTGTTCGCTTTATTGCCGTGGTCTGGAACCGAACCTGCAGTATGTCCAGGGTATGCCTGTATTTAATTTTTAACGTTGGCAATATATTTGGTCTGATTAGAATCATTCTAATCTTATGGAGACTTTTTTAAGACATAGAAGATGTTCTACCTTGATTAACATTTTTTGTGTAATTGAGAAGAATGTGTAGTCTGTTCTCGTTGGGTGACATTTTATGTAAAGGTCAATCAGCTCAATCAGGTGTTAGTGTTCTATCAATTTTTTTGGA